CAACATGCCAACGACTTAAATCAAGAAATAGTTTTCTAAGATCTACAGAGGCACTCACTGGAACACCTCAGCAAGCGAGAGTCCAAAAGTGGCAGGCTCAAACCCAGATCCTCAATCAATGGTACTAAATGAGAGACTCCCTCCTGGGCACACAGAAGACTGGTCGACTTGGAAGGCGCTGAACAGACTGCGCTTTGGCACCATGAGATGCAGAGCCCACCTTAAGAAATGGGGCTACAAAGTGGAATCCATGACATGCGAGTGTGGAGAAGAGCAAACCACTGACCACCTGCTGCAATGCAACTGGAGCCCTGCTACATGCACAATGGAGGACCTACTTATAGTAACACCAGAGGCACTCCAAGTGGTCAGCTACTGGTCAAAGGACATTTAATCAACTACCAAGCCTGCAAACCTTGTGTTTTGTTTGTTTGTTTGTTAAAAATGCAATACAACTGTTTGGCTTGCTCCTGACATGATAAATAAATAACAGAATTTGAAGAATTGGTTATACAATTCAATCAGAATGGGACAGGTGAAGCAACAAAAGAAGTAATAAGTAACTTTTTGTAATATAAGGATAGAAAGTGATCCAATACAATAAACGGGAAGGGACTTAGCAAACAATATTACAGCACAGGAATGACTAAATATTTGGAAACAACTCTGAAAAATATGTCTATAAGTTGTTGTGAGTTTTCTGGGCTGTCTGGCTATGTTCCAGAAGCATTCTCTCCTGACATTTCGTCCACATCTATGGCAGGCATCGTCCCAGGTTGTGAGGTCTGTTGGAAACTAGGAAAATGGGGTTTAGATATTTGTGGATGTCCAGGGTGGGAGAAAGAACTCTTGTCTGCTTCAGGCAGGTGTGAATGTTGCAATTGGCCACCTTGATTAGCATTGAATAACCTTGCAGCTTCAAAGCCTGCCTGCCTCCTGCCTGGAGGAAATATGAAATTGTGATATGTCCTAAGGGCTAATCAATACAATACTATTACTATGTATTATTATTATTGCATTTACATTACTTTATTATTATTTTTATTACATTTATTATTTATTATTTATTATTTATTATTTTTATTATTACATGTATTATTTTAATCTATTTATTGTTGTTTTTATTACATTTATTATTTCATTCTATTTATTATTACATTTACATTAAAGTAAAGGTAAAGGTTTTCCCTTTTTTTTCCCTTTTTATTTTTACAATACAGAAAATACATACCTTGCACACACAAAACATTTACAATTCCCACCACCAACATGAGGATTATTATCTTTCACATATTCATTTCTTTTTGAGACAATCATTATTTCTTTATCTTTATACATTTCCATCCTGTATGCTATATAGCATTTGTATCTTATTTCTTATGACCTGATCTCCAGAATGATTCATAATATAGTTCATTACCCTTGTCCATCTATCTTCCATTTCTCTCATTCGATTTTCATTGATTTTTAAATCATTTAATTTCACATTCATAATTTCAAATTCCATTTGCTCCACCATATAATGGTACCATTTATTTATTGTCCATTTTGATTTATCTTTCCACCCTAATACTATTACTGCTTGTGCACATTCAATTATTGCTTCTTTTATTTCCCTTTTATTTCCCATTTCCTCTCTTTTCCCTAATACCGCTAATTCCTTTGTTATGACCCACTCATTTCCTAATATTTGATTTGACACATTTTGTATAGTCTGCCAAAAATCTTGTACATATTCACATTCCCACATCATGTGCATAAAGTGCCCTTTCTGGTGGCATCCATGCCAGCACTGACTACTCCCCTCTTTATAGTAGTATGCTAATTGGCAGGGTGTGCGATACCATTTGTGCAATATTTTCCTCCTTGTTTCTCGTACTTTAGTATTCCTTTCCATCCCTATTATCTCTACCACATTTCTCATTTCTTGTTCCGAGATTTGTAACTCCGTTTCCCACATAGTTTTCAAGTCCTGTATTGTACATCCATCGGCCTCTATTAGCATTGTATATATTTTGCTGGCCTGTGCCTTCTTTCCTTCCCCTTTTTCTCTTATTATCTTTTCAAAGGCGGTATCTTCTCTCTTAACCATATTGATATTTTCTTTTGTTTTGCAATATGCACAGATTGCTCTTATCTGTAACCAGTTTTCTTGCCCAAGCCATTGTTTAATTTTATTCTCCCTTACCTTTCCCTCTCTGTCATATAATTGTTCTACTCTCTCTATTCCTTTTTCCTTCAATATCTGGATATTTCTATTCATATTTGATTCCTTATCCTTGTTAATTATCCATACTGTTGACATTTTGGATTTTAAACTACTTATTCTCCCTTGCCATTTCTTCCACACTTGCATTGTTCCTTTCATTGGTCCTGTTAATTTATCTATATTTCTCTTATCCCATTTTCTAAAAATTATTTCTTCACAATTAACTCCATTCATTTCCTTTTCAAATTTCACCCATTTTTTATTTGTCACTTGTAATTCTATTGCTCTTTCAATTTGGAAGGCATCGCTATATTGCTCTAGGCATGGGCAGCCCCATCCCCCTTTCATTTCTTTTGCAATTCTCAATTTTTTCCTTATTCTTGGTCTTTTCCCCCCTTCAACCCAATAATTTAGTTTCCTATCCCATTCCTTTAATTTTGCCAAGGGAGTGTTTTCCCTTGACATTGAGTCGTGTCCAACTTCAGGGTTGGTGTTCATCTCCATTTCTAAGCCGGCGTTGTCTGTAGACATCACCTATGTCATGTGGCCAGCATGACAGCATGGAGTGTTGTTACCTTCCCACTGAAGCAGTACCTATTGATCTACTCACATTTGCATGTTTTCGAACTGCTAGGTTGGGAGAAGCTGGAGCTAACAGTGGGAGCTCACCCCACTGCCCGGATTCGAACCGCTGATCTTTCATTCAGAAAGTTCAGCAGCTCAGTGGTTTAACCCGTTGTGCCACCAGGGGCTCCTTTTACATTACATTTACATTATTTTACTCTACGATTATTATTATTTTTACATTTATTATTTTCCTATATTTATTATTGTTATTACACTTATTATTTTACTTTATTATTGTTATTACATTTATTATCTTACTATAGTATTACTGCTATTATTACATTTCTATTATTACACTCTATTATTATTTTTATTACATTTATTCTACTATTTTTATTATTATTGGAAGGAGACATAAGCATATTTACACTGAAGAAGGTTCGAAAAATGGTTTAATCAGAGTTGGAAGTCTTATCTTAAATTACAGTTTTGTGTAAATATTCAAAAGCATTTAACCTACTGATGCCTCAATTAATGTAATTTTATTGGTATCTATCTATTTTTATTTTAGGGCCCCTGGTGGCGCAGCAGGTTAAACCGCTGAGCTGCTGAACTTGCTGAAGGAAAGGTTGGTGGTTCGAATTCAGGGAATGGGGTGAGCTCCCACTGTTAGACCCAGCATCTGCCAACCTAGCAGTTTGAAAACATGCAAATGTAAGTAGATCTATAAGGCCCGCTTCTGCAGGAAGGTAACAGCACTCCATGCAGTCATGCTGGCCACATGACCTTGGAGGTGTCTATGGACAACGCCGGCTCTTCAGCTTAGAAATGGAGATGAGCACCAACCCCCAGAGTTGGACACAACTGGACTTAAATGTCAGGGGAATCTTTTACCTTTACTTTATATATATTTGTAAAAACTTTTAAAATGTGCTAAAAAATCAATGGATGACCAAAACATTGTGAAACTTGGCAGGCTTAAAGTTGTAAATATTGCCTACAAGTGTGTTAATTTTGATCCTGATAACCATAAATTGACCAGTAGCGGCTGCATTTCCCACCCTTAGCTTATCCTCGAGTCACTACATTTTCCCAGTTTATTTTGGTGGTAAAATTAGGTGCCTCGGCTTATATTTGCGTAGGCTTATACTCGAGTATTTAGGGTATATAAAAAGCTGGATGCACATGCTGATACTGAAATCAGTGAGCCAGGAGGCTGTTTAAGCAGATCACACCAATGTCATCAACTCAATATGGATGAAAACCAGAGATTGGGGAAGTTGTTTTCTGGGATGGCAGCTTCCAGAACCCACCAGCCAGGATTCTCAGAGCTGCCATCCCGAACTGTCATTTCCTATATAGGAAATATCTGCGTCTCATGCATGATAGCTCCTATCCTCAAACCAAGTTTGACTTGACAGTCAAAGTGACCAGAATTTAATATTTTCCATAGCTTCTTGGAGATATACAAGTCTATGAAAGAGTGAAGGGGGGCAGCCAGGAAGACAGATTTCCACCATGTCTCCTGGGTCATCGGTTGGAAGCCCCTCACCCCAGCAACAATACTACATCTGCCTGCCATCTCAGGAGGAGAAGGAGGAAAGCCTGCTGCTTCCCCTGCCCCCCAAGCCAGCTAAGAGGAGGAAGGGAACTGAGGAAGAGACTTTAAAAACAGCTGTCTCCTGGCTGTTGCTTACTACATCTGCCTGCCACCTCAGGAGGAAAAGGAGGAAATCCTGATGCTATTCTCCCCCTCCCAAGCCAGCTAAGAGGAGGAAGGGGAATGTGGAAGAGACTTTAAAAACACCTGTCTCCTGGCTGTTGGTTACTACATCTGCCTGCCACCTCAGGAGGAGAAGGAGGAAATCCTGCTGCTACTCTCCCCCTCCCAAGAGGAGGAAGGGGACTGAGGAAGAGACTTTAAAAACAGCTGTCTCCTGGCTGTTGCTTACTACATCTGCCTGCCACCTCAGGAGGAGAAGGAGGAAATCCTGCTGCTTCTCCCACGCCCTCAAGCCCGCTGGGGGACTGAGGAAGAGACTTTAAAAACACTTGTCTCCTGGCTGTTGCTTATTATTTCTGTTGTGGTTTTGTATTGTGTTTAATGTTTTTATGTGCATTTTGATATTATGTATATTGTTGCCTGTAAACCGCCTTGAGTCGCCGAAAGACTGAGAAAGTCGGTATACAAATAAGTAAATAAATAAATAAATCAGTTGCTTACTAGTTCTTTCTTCTTCATGCACTCCATGAGAATCACAAACAGCTGGTGCGCTTGATTCCGGCTGTAGTTAAAGGTCTTCTGGATGGTGACAAGTAGCTGATCCCTGAGTGACTCACTGATGATGCTAAAAAGATTAGAAAGGGAAAAAGGAAAGTTTAGGCTTTGAGTACAATCCAACAGCAGTCATTTAAAAAGTGTCACCCTCAAGTAGATATCCTCAAGGCACCAGATTCTGTCTGGACACAAGATCGAAGCACAATTGACCCCAGTTGGCACTTGGATGGGACATCACCAACAAATCTCAGGTGTTGTAGGCTCGATTTCAGAGGAAGGAAATGGTCAAACTCTCTCTGAGGCTGGATCTACACTGCCATATAATGCAGTTTCAAACTACATTATATGGCAGTTTCATCATGTATTTCCCACACGCATATAATGCTGTTCAATGTAGTCAAACTGTGTTATACAGGTTTACACCACATCCCAGCCAAGTGATAAAAGTGGGAAAATAATAGTAGTAGTAATAATTGTGAATAATAATAATCTATATAAATAAAAATGTAATGTTCGTTTGTGGGATTAACATAACTCAACAACCATTGGACGAATTGACATCAAATTTGGACACAAGACACCTACCAGGCCAATGAGTGAACATGACTCATAAAAACACTGAAAAACACAGCAGAAGAGACTTAAAAAGCCAAAAAACAAAAAAATACACTACAAAGTGTTGTAGTTCAGCGTGTTGGTAGCGTTACTACTCCTGGTAGCAGGGAGAAAAGGTCTGTTCAGGAGTCGGAGGGAGAACTGACACGTTCAAGGCTTCTCTGATTGCGAGATGGGGGATGGGGAAGAGAGCAGAGGTGTAAAAAGGGCTGCTCGCGAGCCGGAGGGGAATTGCAGAGGAAGCGCATCCGGGAAATACTTAGTGTGCCAACAGAGGATGAGGATTTCCTGGGGTTTGAAAGGAGTTCTGGGTCTGGGAGTGATATGGAAGAGGAGCAATTGGATTGGACCCGTGTTCAACAAATAAGGGACATTTGCAATCAACCCACCTCTAGTGAGGAATTTGAGGGGTTCACTGAGGGTTGGCAGCCAGGGACCTCTTGGCAGGATCTAAGTCTTAGCAGACGCTGGCAGAGGTGAAGGGATGGGTGCTCGGATTCAGCTGCAGGGTTGGGGGCAGCTGAGAGCGATGACAAAAGGGTGGGGAGCTCATCAAGCTCTGATGAGGAACTTTGAGATAAAAGTGGGTTCTGTTTGCATGATGCTTTGCAGAAGGCAAAGCGTCTTTATTGGACATAACTCTTTGTACTGCCAACTCTTGGTCCTTGGGCTACAGCTTCGTGTGTTCCTGAATTCCTGTTCCTCGGTGATTCCTGCGTTCCAGTGTTTGTTTACCAACGGCTTGACCACAGGACCGGTTTGACTATCGTTTTTGGCTTTCTGGACTTTGAACTCTTATAACTTTGTGCTTGAACAATTCCTTGTTTTAGGACTTCGTTTTTCCATCTTCTGTGACTGTGTTTTTGTGCTTAACTTTGAGTTTAATCCAGATTATAAGGCAGCACTATAATCCGGGTTATATTTTTGTTACTGGTATCACTTTGTTTTTGATGCCAATTTACTCCTCAGACTCTTTGCACTGAAGTTAAGTGCTTTGAAGGACTATTTTTGTACAATAAAGCTGTGTTTGAACTCTTATTTTGTGTTTGGCTCTAATTAAGGTTTCTGGGTCTTGACAACAATGCATGCACAAAACCACATATATACACAAACACACATCTATACACATATACAGAAATATATACACACACATATATGCAAACATACACACACAAAACACATAGACACAGACTAGGCAACAGCAACGCGTGGCAGGGGATCTGCACACATTATTCAACGATACATCACACAGTCTTAGACACTTGGAAAGTGTCCGACGTGTGATCCAATACAACTGCCAGCAAAGTGATCTTGTCTGCTGTGGACTCATTTTGTTGTGTTTCAAATAATAATAACAACAATATGAAGACAGTCAAGGTGGTCCCAGTGGTAATTGGCACATTGGGTGCAGTGCCTAAAGACCTTGGCCTGCCCTTAAACAGAATCAGCGCTGACAAAATTACCATCTATCAGCTGCAAAAGGCCACCCTACTCGGATCTGCAAGCATTATTTGTCTAATATGTCACACACAGTCCTAGACACTTGGGAAGTGTCCGACGTATGATCCAATACAAAAACCATCAGAGTGTACAGATCTTGTTGTGTTTCTAATTATTATTATTAATTAATTACCCAATAATAATAATAATAATAATAATAATAATAATAATCAATTAACCAGTAAAGGTGGTCCCAGTGGTGATTGGCATACCAGGTGCAGTGCCTAAAGACCTTGAACTGCACTTAAACACAATCAGTGCTGACAAAATTACCATCTGCCAGCTGCAAGAAGCCACCTTGCTGAGATCTGCACGCATTATTTGCCAATACATCACACAGTCCTGGACACTTGGGAAGTGTCCGACGTGTGACAGAGTGTTTGCTGTGGACTCATCTTGTTGTGTTTCAAATAATACTAATACTACTAATAATAGTATTTATGAGGTCACCATGTGTTGGAAAGCAATTTGAGGGCACATACACACAGTCCAGAGTACTGGGGGCGGGGGGGGGGGAGACACAAGATGGAATCCTAGATTTTGAATGTTTACTATATGCAACACCCTAGACAACACATTCAGATCCATAGGTCTTTCATACTTCATAAGCACAGCTATTCACATCTCAGGTAGGAGGGAGAGAATTTTTGAAAAAGCTATCTAGTTTCCCTCCCAGCATAAGCCCGAGTCCTCCAACTGTGGCCAATTTCTTCCGATTTCAATTTGACTGGAAGGCAATTCATCCCAAGCTGAGCTAGAAAAGGGCATTGCATTTCCCTCTCATTGCAAAACTGGACTCTCTAATCAGGATGACGCAGGAGAGTTGCCAAAGGCGCCCTGTTTGCAAGGAAGCTGTTTAGCCTGAGAACTTGGAGGGTGTTCTTGGCACTGGGAGGCACAGAGCTATCAAGAAAGGCTAACCAGCAAAAAAAGTGGCTAGGGTAAACGTTTGGAAATTGGATTGGTGAGTCCTTCAGCATCCCTTTTCTGAAATACAGGACCAATTCCATATCCACATGGATACGTTCCAAGCTCCCCTGTAGATATCTAAAAGCATAGATATTAGCAAATGCCATGACATATTTGGCCTGGAATAATGCCACAGAGGCACATTAGAGAACAACTCTACTACTCTTTTCCACCTAATTCCAAGGAGGCCCCTCGAGTGCTGGAGAGGTGCCTGGCCGCTGTGGCTATCTGGATGAGGGAGAACAAGCTGAAGATCAATCCCGACAAGACAGAGGTCCTCCTAGTCAATCATAAACCGGATTGGGGTATAGGGTGGCATCCTGTGCTGGACAGGGTTACACTCCCCCTGAAGTCACAGATCCGCAGTTTGGGAGTCCTCTTGGATTCATCACTTATGTTTGAGGCTCAGGCGTCGGCAGTGTCCGGGAGGGCTTTTGCACAACTAAGCTGCGACCGTACCTCGCAAAGGCTGATCTGGCCGGGGTGGTCCATGCCTTAGTCATCTCTAGGTTGGATTACTGTAATGCGCTCTACGTGGGGCTGCCCTTGAAAATGGCTCGGAAATTCCAACTGATTCAACAGGCGACGGCCAGGATGTTAACTGGCGCCCCTTACAGAGAGAGGTCAACCCTCCTGTTTAAGGAGCTCCATTGGCTGCCGTTTACCTACCGAGCCCAATTCAAGGTGCAGGTGCTTACCTACAAAGCCCTAAATGGTTTGGGACCTGCCTACCTGCGTGACCGCATCTCCGTATATGAACCCACGCGTTCCCTCCGTTCATCCGGAGAGGCCCTGCTCACGATTCCACCTGCGTCGCAGGCACATTTGGTGGGGACGAGGGACAGGGCCTTCTCTGTGGTTGCCCCCCAACTTTGGAACACCCTCCCCAAAGACATTAGACTAGCACCTATGTTGGCAGTCTTTAGGAAGAACTTGAAGACCTGGCTGTTCCGATGTGCCTTTCCTGAATAGGATAACCTCCAGCACTACGTCCCAGAAGCACTTTATTAGAGCTTAAGACTCTCTGCAGATTGCACTTGCCCAGAATTCCAACATATCACCTCACACACCCAGCACTTTTTTAACCTGTACCCTTCATTGGCCCGGCCCTGTTTTTATTGTGTAATAGTGTAATGTTTTGTTGTGTTATTGCTTATGTTTTTATTTTGCTTGCATTGTTATTGTTTGTTGTTGTTATGTTGAGGCCTTGGCCTTTGTAAGCCGCATCGAGTCCTTCGGGAGATGCTAGCAGGGTACAAATAAAGTTTAACAATAATAATAATAATAATAATAATAATAATAATAATAATAATTAGATAAGGTCAGTCTGTGATTGTGTCTGATGTTCATGTTGATGTTCATGATTTTCATGTAGATGTTCATGATGGGAATGATGAGCCTGGGGATGAGTGTTTGCTTGGGCCTCAGTTAAGTTCAGAAGAAAGGCCTGAGCTGTTTCAGGCAGCTTCACAAGGCCACATTCTTGAGAGATGCACTTCGCCGCTTTACTCAGAACAACTGTCTGACCATGATTGGTCAGGTACAGGAGTTAATGAGGGAGAAGGTAATAATAGCTTGGACAGAAAGAAGAGTTTTAGTAAACAGAGGCAAAGTCTTCAGAGACTGAGGCGATCAGTTCGTCTACAGCAGTGGTTCTCAACCTTCCTAATGCCGCGACCCCTTAATAATAGCACCTCATGTTGTGGTGATGGCAGGCATGTAGCCGGGGGGTGGGCTTGAGGGGCTTCAGCCCCCCCCCCCCCCCGAAATTCTCATGGTGGTTCGCGAAAAGGCCTTACTGGTGCATTATTTAAACTGTTATGTTTATTCATATCATGATCTGATCACCATACTCAATATATCCCATATGCATGGGGGTATTGGGGTAACGATACAAAAGGTTTGCTAAGGTAGACCCTCTTTCACTCAGACTCAGCCCCCCGCAAATCAAACTTAGCTCCCCTGAAACAAAATCCTGGCTACGCCCCCCCGAAACGCAATCCTGGCTATGGGCCTGGGTGACGCCCAACCATAAAATTACTTTCGTTGCTACAACATAACTGTAATTTTGCTACTATTATAAATCGTAATGTAAATATCTAATATGCAGGATGTATTTTCATTAATTGGACCAAACTGGGCACAAATACCTGGTATGCCCAAATTTGAGTACTGGTGGGATGGGGGGGGGGTGACACTCTGAAGCCAGAGTGAAGAGGGGCAGCCAGGAAGACAGATTTCCACCATGTCTCCTGGGTCATCGGCTGTCTCCTGGCCATTGCTTACTACATCTGCCTGCCACCTCAGGAGGAGAAGGAGGAAATCCTGCTGCTACTCTCCCCCTCCCAAGCCAGCTAAGAGGAGGAAGGGGACTGAGGGAGAGACTTTAAAAACAGCTGTCTCCTGGCTGTTGCTTACTACATCTGCCTGCCACCTCAGGAGGAGGAGGAGGAAACCCTGCTGCTTCTCCTCCCCCCCCCCCCTCACCCGCTCACCCACCCCACCCTCAAGCCAACTAAGAGGAGAAAGAGGACTGAGGAAGAGAAAAAGAAAGAAGAAGAAAGAAGAGAGAAAGGAAGGAGAGAGAGAGGGAGGGAAGGAAAGAGAAAAAGAAGAAGGATGGAAACAAAAAGTGAAAGAAGGAAGGAAAGAGGGAGGGAAGGAAGAAAGGAGAGAAAAGGGAAAGAAAAAGGGGGAAGGAAGGAAAGAGGTGGAGAAGGAAGAAAAGAAAAGAAGGGAGAGAAGGAAGGAGAGAAAGAGGGAGAGAAGGAAAGAAGGAAACAGAAGGAAGGATGGGAACAAAAAGTGAAAGAAGGAAGGAAAAGTGAGGGAAGGAAGAAAGGAGGGAGAAGAAAAGAAAAAGGGGGAAAGGAAGGAAAGAGGTGGAGAAGGAAAGAAAAAATGGGAGAGAAGGAAGGAGAGAAAGAGGGAGAGAAGAAAGAGAAGAAGAGGATAGAAAAAAAGGAAGGAAGGAAGGAAAGAGGGGGGAAGGAAGGAAGAGAGAAAAAGGAAAAGAGGAGAAGAAAGAAAGAGAGAAAGAAGGAAGGAAGAAGGAAAGAAAAAGGGAAGGAAGGAGAAAGAGGGAGGGAAGGTTTGCCACAGCAACGCGTAGCGGGTACAGCTAGTTTTATATATTGGACTTTTATTCTTTTTGCTATTTTTACTGCTGTGTCTACATACCCTCCTTCTTCTGAGTATTTGTGCGCAAAGGACAAAATGTCAGACGCTCTCCCGCTGCCGTCGCAAATCACAACAGGAAGAGGGGGGTCTTCACGGAGGCATTCCAAGACAATCGAAATCACGTTGGGGCCTCCTTCCACGATCAGGCCGACCACGGGGACCCCCTGCCCAAGTCCTGTGGGGCAAAGCGAGAAAGACAGCCATCAATCGCTTAAAGGGAGGTTCTGAGAGACCCTTGGAACTTCTCCACCAACCAAGAGGTTGAGGTTGAAGAGCAGAGAATAAGAAAAAAAAGCAAGCCCTAAACAATCCATGTCTAAAACAACCCCAAGTGGCACCCAATGCAAAACCCCTCTTTCCTAAGGACCCATCCTGGCCGGCCGACGTTAGAGACAACAGCTGAGCACCCCTTTGCTGTCCCTGCCTCTCTGCGATCTCCAGGCATAGGATGACAAAGGGAAGCCCACAGGTCACATGATCCAGGGAGCCTCCGTCACCTGTCAGGATGTTGCAGGGCTAGAAGGGAAAAAATAATTATGGTTATGCCCAAATTGTGTATTCAACACTACCCATGGTTTCACCTACCTGCATTTGATCTAATATGTCATCTCCGGAATTTTTCCTGGTGATTTTTTGCTACGTTTTCAAGAGAGATTAGCATAGTCACTCTAGAGGACACTGTCAGAAATACTAAAAAAAATAACTAGGTATGGGGAGGCCCTGCTCTCGGTCCCACTGGCTTCGCAAACGTGTCTGGTGGGGACAAGAGACAGGGCCTTCTCCGTGGTGGCCCTCCGTTTGTGGAATTTGCTCCCCAGCGAGATCAGATCGGCATCCTCCCTCCTTTCTTTTAGGAAAAAAATAAAATCGTGGTTTTGGAGCTAGGCCTTTGGCTCGTGGGCACAGCAGCACTTTCAACACAGAACCGGGACCACAGGACTGTTACGACAATTGGAAACGGCTATGGGACTTTGTGACTATGTGATTTGTGACTATGTGATTATGTGATTTTAATTAATGTTACTGTTTTTAATCTGCTATGTATTATGATTTTATATTGTGTTACTGATATAGTGGCATCAAATTGGCATCAAATTGCTGCCTGTGTTAGCCACCCTGAGTCCCCCTCGGGGGTGAGAAGGGCGGGGTAGAAATGGTGTAAATAAATAAATAAATATTTTTCATTACAAAAATGTGAGTCAAGCACTGAAAGGGTTAAATGGATGCAATGACTCAGCAAAAGCTGCAGTTCCATATATGCAGGTGTGTCTGCAGCTTAGTAAGCCTCTGTGTTAGTTTGCCTCAGTGGGAGAAAGGTTTCAGTCTGTAAGAAGGCCTGACAGTGTGAGGCAGGTCTTAGTTTGTGAGAGAAGGTCTCACAGTGTGAGAGAAGCCTCTGTGTGAGATAGGCCTTTGTGAAAAGGACTCAGAATATGAGAAGGCTTGGTGTGAGAAGCTTCGGTGAGAGGAAACCCCAGTTTGAAGGCCTTGTGTGTAAAGAATTGTGTGTGAAGCTTCAGTGTGTGAAAGCTGCTGTGTGTCTAAAGCAGCTCCTGTGTAGCTGTCAGACCTTCTCACAGACTGAAACCTTTCTCCCACTGAGGCAAACTAATACAGAGGCTTATAAAGCCCTAAACGGTTCTGATCCAGTTTACCTGTCCGAACGTATCTCCCTCTATGAACCATCAAGGAATGTAAGATCATCGGGGGAGGCCCTGCTCTCGGTCCCACCACACTCGCAAGTACGACTGGTAGGGATGAGAGACAGGGCCTTCTCAGTGGTGGCTCCTCAACTGTGACATTCCCTCCCAAACGATATCAGATCTGCCCCTCCCTCCTGGCCTTTTGGGGGGAAAAACTTAAAACCTGGCTTTGGGATCAAGCTTTTGAGCAATAGATACAGCGATTTGAATCCGAATGACCGATGCGACCGGTGATGGACTGATCTTGAATCATAATTTTAAACTGGTGGAATTTAAAATGTTAAATTTTGATTGTTTTTAACTGTTTTAACTGTTGTTTTAATTATGATTATTTAATTGATGTTTGGCATCTAATGGCTGCCTGTTGTAAAGCCGCCCGAGCCCCCCTATAATTATACTATAAACTAGTATAATTAGGTATAATTGGACCTCATTTTGGTCTTAATTTTTGTCACTAGTTTATGGTTATTATTTTTATATTATTCTGTTTTGGGAAATGAATGTTTGCCGTTCTTATGTGTAAACCTCCCTGAATCTCCTCGGAGAGAGAGGGTGGTCTATAATTCTTTATATTTTGCTATCTGATTGTTTCAGGTTACTTTTGTTCTGATTGTTCATTTCCTTTTACTTATTCAGTTTGTCCCCCCTTTAGATACATTCTCAATGGTTTCCAATCCGTTTTACTCGTTTTGTCCTGATCTTTTAATAGCTGTGTTAGTGAGTCCATGTTCATATAGTCTGCTATTTTGATAAACCAGTTCTCGATTGCTGGAGATTCTTTCTCTTTCCATTTATATGGCAGTGTAGAAGGGGCGTATGGCAGTGTAGTTTTCTGTCTTAACTTCTGAATTGGAGAATATATTCTTTGTGTGTAACAAGCTATGAGCAACTGTCTTTGGTACTTAATGCATAACACTGAATAGCATCACCAGGACTTTGCTCCAGTTTGGGCAAAGTTGGGATACTCTGAAACTTTCTGTAGCCCCAATCTCGACAACTGTATCGGGTCCAATTTGGCAAATGGCTTCTCGAGTTCTGTAGATGTGCTTGACACTTACTTAATTACTTAGGTGACCCCTCGTAGTCGGAGGATGATGGTCCTCCAAGTGTAGTGTCCTGGTGGTGAGTCTGTAGGTGACTGTGGAGCCCTATTCTTGATCTGCATCTTCTGCAGTGAGGGCATCGGTTTCCAGGTGAAAGGCGGTCCCGGTCAGGGTTGGCTTGACGCACCTTCCTCTTGGCATGTTCCTCTCTTTTGCCCTCCATTCGTGCCTCTTCAAATTTACAGCACTGCTGGTCACAGCTGACCTCCAACTGGAGCACTCAATGGCCAGAGCTTCCCAGTTCTCAGTGTCTACACCAGAGTTTTTAAGGTTGGCTTTGAGCCCATCTTTCAATCCTGCCCACCAACCTTCCGTTTTCCGTTCTTGAGTTCGGAATAGAGCATGTGATGGTGCGCGCGTCTGGCCCCACTTGTATGTTAATATATAGTTGAATTGTTTGGTTATCTACAGCTTTCTATCATTGTTGTTTTGCATCAGTTGAATTGCTCCCCCAGCTCAATTGCTTGACTCCACCCCTTTCTAGGGAGGAGGACAGTGCTTTCTTTTTCATTCCACCATCAAACAACTTGACAGATGGATGTGAGAAAGGCTTGGCTCTAAGCCCTCAGTCAAGTCATCTCTTATCACCAATTCTAAAGTTTGTACTCTTAAGATTCGTACTTCATACCCAGCTCACCTGGACGACGTTGAGGAATCTTAAGCGCCTTCAAACCAGTCCTTTGGCATCAAGAGGAAGACTTTGTGCCTTCAATATAGGTCATTGGACTGGGGCTGTGAATGTTCCGACTTTCACAGCCGTTGAAAAAGAGGGAACTTGGAAAGCTTCTCAGCTGGAAAACTCCTTGGACCCAAGACTCCAGAGACTGTAATGTATATTTTCTTTACCCCCTTTTGAAACATCAAGTTTAATGCTTAAGAAAGATAACTCATTGTGAACAATAAAGCCTACTTCGAGTTATCTATAGTGTCTTGATCCCTGAGAGTTCCAGTTCTCTAAAGGAAGGCAAGAAGCAATCCCCTGGGGAAAAGATGTCACATCCATGTTTCTTTCACTAAGAACTATAGCCCCCAGGCAGCGATGGCATAGAGCAACTGCTTTGGGACAACGTGGCCGGTCCATGGCGGAGGACCATCGCTTCAATGCTGGTGGTCTTTGCTTCTTCCAGCACAATAACATTTGTCTGCTTGTCTTCCCAAGAGATTTGCAGGATTTTCTGGAGACAGCGCTGATGGAATCGTTCCAGGAGTTGCATGTGACGTCTGTAGACAGTCCACATTTCACAGATGTATAGCAGGGTTGGGAGGACAATAGTTTTATAAACAAGCACCTTGGTATTGGTTGGAGACAAAACGTACGTGTCAGAGATGTGTCCTGCTCCGAGAGGTAAGACCATTATGTCCTGACAGGTGAGATACCCGGCAGAAATAATTGGATGGTCTCTGCTTTGTTCCTCATCCGCTGAATCGCTCTGCTGTCTGTCAAACCAGGGTGATGGATCTGATGATGTATGGAGCTAACAGGCCCCTTTTCACTGCCAACCCTACATTAATAACCCCATGTGGACACTAACTAATGTCCTTGTTAAGCCTCCTGGCAGAGAAAGACAGATTTGATTACTCCAGGGGCAGACGTGTCATGGAATTTGCCTTGGATTCCAAAGCCCAAAAATGGGGACGGAGAAAGGAACTCTCCTCCTTCATCCCTCGGGAAGATAAGGGAGGAAATATGATAAAATGGGTAACAGACATAGGACATTCTGTACTGTTAAAAGAATGGAAACAAATTTGAAGAAAAAATTAAGATACACAATATCTGTCAACATAATAGAAAACTGGCACAAAATGTTTTATCGCTGGCATCTTACACCACAACATCTAGCAAAGTATTATAAGAATTACGATAACCAATGCAGGAAATGTGGGAAGTACTTGGATCCTATTATCATTTATGGTGGGGCTGTAACAAAAAAAAAATACTGGAAAGTAACCCATAAACATATTCAAAATATTATAAAAATAAAATTTGATTTGAAGCCTGAGTATTACCTGATGAATACATTAGACTTCAGCATAGAAAAAAATAAAGATAAGATTTTATTTTATTTGGCGACCGCAGCGCGGTCAAGGCAGATAATCCACAATATCTGCTTTGAACTGGATTATATGAGTCTAGACTGCCATATAATCCAGATCAGAGCAATCTGGGTTTTATATGGCTGTGTAGAAGGGGTCTTAGATAAAGGACTTCTTCCTAGGTTATATCTCCATGACTGAACGAATTCCACTTGAACTGCCATGCTTCAAATGCTATGGAATCACAGGAGATGTAGTTTCACAAGGTCTTCAGCCTTCTCTGCCGAAGAGGGTTGGTGCATCAACATGGGGCTGCAGGTGTGCAATGGGTTAAACCCTTGTGCTGCTGAACTGCTGTCCTGAAGGTTGGCAATCCAAAGCCACAGGTTGGGGTGAGCTCCCGCTGTTAGCGTCAGCTTCTGCCAACCTAGCAATTTGAAAACATGCAAATGTGTGTAGATCAGTAGGTACCCCTTTATTTTATGGGTTGTGCAATGAAATCCTTCCTCATTGCTGGAGCCTCCTCCTTATAAGTTACACCAGTGTTTTTAATTTTTTAAAATAATTTTATCCATGCATCTGGCCCTGCCTAGTGAAATTTTCTGTTTTTAATGCTTGACTTTATATTGTTGTGTTGTATATTATTTTGATTTTGCATTTTATGTGTTTTGCTTGTTTTATTGTGTTTTGTGTTATATTGCTTGTATTCTATTGATGTAAGCCGCACCGAGTCCCCTTGGGGAAGGTGGAGCGGGGTATAAATAAAGCTGCTTTATTATTATTATTATTATTATTATTATTATTATTATTGGCGCCCGCAAAGACCACCAGCATTGAACCGATGGTCCTCCACTATCAACTCCGCTGGACTGGCCACGTTGTCCGGATGCCCAACCACCGTCTCCCAAAATAGTTGCTCTACTCCAAACTCAAGAACAGAAATGGAATGTTGGAGGACAGGAAAAGAGATTGAAAGATGGGCTCAAAGTCAACCTTAAAAACTCTGCCATAGACACTGAGAAGTGGGAAGCCCTCGCCCTTGAGTGCTCCAGCTGGAGGGCAGCTGTGACCAGCAGTGCTGTAGAATTTGAAGAGGCATGAATGGAGAGCAAAAGTGAGAAACGTGCCAAGAGGAAGGCGCGTCAAGCCAACACCAACCGGGACTGCCTTCCACCTGGAAACCAATGCCCTCACTGCAGGAGAAGATGCAGGTCAAGAATAGGGCTCCACAGTCACCTACGGACCCACTGCCAGTACATCCATCTTGGAAGACAATCCTATTCAGACAACGAGGGATCGCCTAAGTAAGTACTAAAGGCGCCCATGCAGGCATGCCGGCAAACATGACCAGGGGGTGTCTATGGACAACAGGCTCCTCGGCTTGGGAATGGAACAAGAACACCTCCCCATGGCCAGAGTTGAACATCACTTGCAGAAGCCAGAAATGAAAAGGGAAGCCTTTATCTAATGTTTTGTGTATTTCTGTGTCATTGTTATTCCACTATATTAAAGGCCCTAAATATTTACCTATCTGTCTGTGTTGTAACCCGCTCTGAGTCCCCTCGGGGAGATGGAATATAAATAAAGTATTATTATGTTATTATTTTTTATCACCAAAACACAATTCTCAGGATTCCATAGCCTTGCGCCATGGCAGTTCAAGTGGCATCGAACTGTATTAATTCTACAATTTAGATGCACCTTGAGCTAGAAGGTAAATGCAGCTGAATTCAATGCCATTTAGAGAACAACTGTCACATCAGAGTTCTTCGGCCGAAAGATGCACCTCCCTTGGAAGTGGAACAGAATGGCTCACTTACGGGTGTTGATTTTCTGGAGGGAGATGTGTTTCTCCAGCTGGCGCCTGAGCTTCACTTCCGCCCCATATTTGCCCAGGGTGCCGTTGTCGGCCAGAATGAAGTGTGTATGGGAACTGTTGAGCACAGAGAGTTTGCTTAGTGGGTTTGACATGGTTTGGTAAACTCTTGTCACCTGTCGGAAAGGAAAAAAGGGCAGGTTTGTTTTCTTTTTATTTTATTTCAATAGCCAAGTGTCTCTCAAATGTGACTGCAATCAATGTGTAAGCCACCTTGAGAGAATAATAATAATAATAATAATAATAATAATAATAATAATAATAATAGCAACAATAACAACAATAACAACAATAATGAGACTGCAAAGACTCTGGCACAAGCCAGACAATGTGGTCCCAGTTGTGATTGGCACACTGGGTGCATCACAGTCCTAGACACTTGGGAAGTGTCTGACGTGTGATCCAATAGAAAAGCCAGCATAGTGATCTTGTTTGCTGTGTACTAATCTTGTTCTGTATCTAATAATAATAATAATAATAATAATAATAATAATAATAATAATAACAACAATGGGAAGTGTCCGACGTGTGATCCAATATAAAAGCCAGCACAGTGATCTTGTTTGCTGTGTACTAATCTTGTTGTGTATCAAATAATAATCATAATCATAATCATGGGAAGTGTCTGACGTGTGATCCCATACAACAGCCAGCAGAGTGTCTGCTGTGGACTCATTTTGTTGTGTTTCAAATGATGATGATGATGATGATGATGATGATGATGATTCCAGCTGAGGTGTTTTGGCATGGCACCCAGTGCGCCGATGACCACTGGGACCACCTGTACTGGAGCCAGAGCCTTTGCAGTTCGATTTTGATTTTTTGATACAAAATCCAGCATATAGATCTCGTTTGCTGTGACATACTGTGTTTTGTCTCAATAAAATGATGATGATGATGATGATGATGATGATGATGATGATGATACTAATACTAATACTACTAATAATAATTTTTTTGTCGTGTCAGGAGCAGCCTGTTGTGAGAGAATTGGCCGTCTACGAGGAGGACGGCCCAGGGGACGGCCGGATGATTTTGACGTTTTTATCATCCTTGTGGGAGGCTTCTCTCATATCCACGCATGAGGAGCTGGAGCTGATAGAGGGAGCTCATTCACCTCTCCCTGGATTCGAACCTGCGACCTGTTGGTCTTCAGTCATGCCGGCACAGGGCTTTAACCCACTGTGCCACCGGGGGCTCCAATAATAATAATAATAATAATAATAATAATAATAATAATAATAATGCAAAGACTGGCACAAGCCAGTCAAGCTGCTCCCAGTGATGATCGGCACACTGGGTGTATTGCTTAAAGACCTTGGCCTACACTTAAAAACCATCAGTACTGACAAAATTATCATCTGCCAGCTGCAATATAATAATAATAATAATACTTTATTTATACCCTGCCACCATCTCGCCAGGGGACCCAGGACGGCTTACATGAAGCCAAGCCCAACAACACATCAGTAAACAACAATGCAATAAACAAATAAAACAATATAATTAATATAACTCACATATAGACAATAACACGCAAAAATTTAAAAACCTATGGCCGGGCCAGATGTAATAGTTTGACATTTTAAAAAATAAACGTTGGCCACCCAACTTGGATCTGCACGCATTATTTGCCAATATATCACACAATCCTAGACACTTGGGAAGTGTCCAACATGTGATCCAATACAACAGCCAGCATAGGGATCTTGTTTGCTGTATACTAATCATGTTATGTATAAAATAATAATAATCATCATCATCATAATCATCATCATTATCATCATCATCATCATAGTCTTCATCATCATCATGCAAAAGACTCTGGCACAAACCAGTCAAAGTGGTCCCAGCAGTGATCGACACACTGGATGCAGTGCTTAAAGACCTTGGCCTGCACTTAAAAATAATTGGCGCTGACAAAATTACCATCCGACAGCTGCAGAAGGCCACCCGACTTGGATCTGCACGCATTATTTGCCGACACATCACACAGTCCTAGACACTTGGAAAGTGTCCGATGTGTGATCGAATACAAAAGCCAGCAGAATGATCTTGTTTACAGACAGAGTTTTGGAGCATAATACCCCTGACCTCACAATCGTGTTAAAAAACAAAGTATGGATTGTCGATGTTGCAATCCCAGGTGACAGCAGGATTGAAGAGAAACAACTGGAAAAGATGACACAATACGAGGATTTAAAGATCGAATGGCAAAGACTCTGGCACAAGCCAGTCAAGGTGGTCCAAGTGCCTAAAGACCTTGGCCTGCATTTAAGCACAATCGGCACTGACAAAATTACCATCTGCCAGCTGCAGAAGGCGACCTTACTGGGATCTGCACGCATCATTCGCCGATACATCACACAGTCCTAGACACTTGGGAAGTGTCCGACGTGTGATCCACTACAACAGCCAGCAGAGTGTCTGCTGTGGACTCAAATAATAATAATAATGTCTGGCACAAGCCGGTCATGGTGGTCCCATTGGTGATCAGGACACTGGGTGCAGTGCCCAAAGACCTTGGCCTGCACTTAAAAACAATCAATGCCAAAAAATTCACCACTTGTCAACTGCAAAATCCACCCTGCTTAGATCTGCACACATTATTCATCAATACATTACACAGTCCTAGACACTTGGGAAGTCTGATCCAATATAAAAGCCAGCATAGTGATCTTGTTTGCTGTGTACTAATCTAGTTGTGTTTCTAATAATAATGATGATGATGATGATGATGATAATAATAATAATAATAATAATAATAATAATAATAATAACAACAACAACAGCCAGCAGAGTGATCTTGTTTGCTATTTATTTATTTATTTTGGTTGCTTCTACCCCGCCCTTCTCACCCCGTGGGAGGGGGACTCAGGGCGGCTTACAAAGGCAAGGCACAATTCGATGCCTGCATCACATAACAACAAAAGACAATAACATCAGTTAACAAAGACAGCAATTCTAGCAATAACAACAATTAACAGAAACAATAATTATTATAGGCAAAAAAAACCATAAAAACAATAAAACCAATACAAACCTCATTGACGGTCAGCGTTTCACACTCTCATAGTTTAAATTCCAATTCCACAATTGTCAGTCCTTTCAGTCCTATCCATCTGGTTTCCATATCTAATTGTCAGGTTGCCCAAAGGCCTGATCCCACAACCACGTCTTTACCTTCCTCCTGAAGGCAAGGAGGGATGTTGATGCTCTGATTTCCCCTGGGAGTGAGTACTAATCTTGTTGTGTTTCTAATAATAATAATAATAATAATAATAATAATAATAATAATAATAACTGCCAGCAGAGTGATCTTGTTTGCTGTGTACTAATCTTGTTGTGTTTCTTCTTCTTCTTCTTCTTCTTCTTATTATTATTATTATTATTATTATTATTATTACAGCCAGCAGAGTGATCTTGTTTGCTATGTACTAATCTTGTTGTGTTAATAATAATAATAATAATAATAATAATAATAGCCAGCAGAGTGATCTTGTTTGCTGTGTACTAATCTTGTTGTGTTTCTAATAATATTAATAATAATAATAACAACAGCAACAACAGCCAGCAGAGTGATCTTGTTTGCTGTGTACTAATCTTGTTGTGTTTCTAATAATAATAATAATAATCATCATCATCATCATCGCTTAGGAAATGTTCGACTTGTGATTTTGTGATACGAAATCCAGCATATAGATCTCATTTGCTGTGACATACTGTGGTGCCAGTAAAATAATACTAATACTAATACTAATAATAATAATAATAATAATAATAATAGGCAGAAGTCTTTGGACACTTGGAGACCAGAGTTCGAATTCCTGCTCAGCCATAAATACCCAATACATGGCCTTGGTCAAGTCTCACCCTCTCAGCTTCACAATGAGGCAATGGCAAACCTCCTCTAAAGATATCCTGCCATTATAGGGTTAGCATACAACAAATCCAGACTCTATAGCTGATCAGAGTCTGCAGCTCATCGAATGTCCCATTACTCAAAGGTAACTTTTGAAATTCTATTTTGGAGGGTAGAGCTGCAAATCTCTCCCTGCCTATCATCAACTACACCTCTCATAATTTTCTGTAGGACGCCAGTCCAGGTTTGCAGAGTAGTTCTGCCCTCTACAGACCGTTTTCCGCAAGTAAAAAATATATATGCTCACTTACTATACAAATCTGTTGAGCTTTAAGTGATCATAAGAGCAAATTAAAGAGAATCGCTCTTATCTCAGATGGATTTGTTTACAAAGGGTTTGCCTTTGCCTTCCTCTAAGGCTGAGAGAGTGTAGCTTGCTGAAAGTCATCCAGTGGGTGCCATAACTGGTTCGAACCCTGGCCTCCAGAGTTGTACTTCAACACATTACACCTTACTGGAAAAACTGCTCAGCAATCTTGGGTTAGCCGACGTGTAGTGCATTACACGGCCTGATCTCTTGATTAAAAAATCATCAAAGTAAAGCAGAAAGTCCTGGCTGGAATCCAGCAAACATTTGGGATCTTACGTCTTTCCCAATCAGGTCTTCCTTGTTTTCCACAATGCCCCACGGAGCAATTCCTATGGCACAGATTCGTCCTCTGGACTTGGAAGAATGGTCTTTCAAGGCATCTCCAACGTGGCGAATGACTCCTGTAGGAAGAATGGCATGGATTAGAGCCTTCTCTAGAGGTCTTCCATACTACGACTAACAATCTATATAAATAAAAATGTAATGTTCATTTGTGGGATTAACAGAACTTAAAAACCACTGGGCGAATTGACACCAAATTTGGACACAAGACACCTCTCAGGCCAACAAGTGACCATCAGTCATAAAAACATGGAAAAAACACAGGGGAAAGGACTTAAAAAGTAAAAAATAAATAAAAAACCAAAATACATTACAACTCATGCACAAAACCACACACATATATACACACATATATGCATCTACACACACAAAACACATACACAGAAAAGGGGAAGGGAAGGAAGGAAGGAAGGAAGGAAGGAAGGAAGGAAGGAAGGAAGAAGAGGGAAGGAGAGAAGGAAGGAGAGAAGAAGGAAGAAAAGAGGGAAAGAAGGAAGGAGAAAAGAAGGGAGAGAAGGAAGGAAGGAGAGAAGAGAAGGGAGGAGAAGGAAAGAAAGAAAGGTAGAGAAGTAGGAGGAAGAAGAGGAAGAAGAAGGGTAGAGAAGGAAGAAGAGGAAAGAGAGAGAGGAGAGGAGAGAAAAGGAGAAGAAGGAGGGAGAAGGAAGAAAGAAGGTAGAGAAGGAAGGAAAGAGAGAAGGAAATAAAAAAGTGAAAGAGGAAGGAAGGAGAGAAGGAACGAAAGAGAGAAGGAGGGAAGGAAGGAAAGAGACAAGGAAGGAAGGAACCAAAGAGCAAAGGAAACGAGAAAAGAAACAGGTAAAGAAGGAAGAAAGAAGGGAAAGAAAAAGAAGGGAGGGAGGAAAGAGGGAAGGAAGGAGAGAAATAAAGAAGGAGAGAAATAAAGAAGGAGAGAAAGAAGAAGGGAAGGTTGGCCACAGCAACGCGTGGTGGGTACAACTTGTCTTTATAAATAAAAATGTAATGTTCGTTTGTGGGATTAACAGAACTCAAAAACCACTGGATGAATTGACACCAAATTTGGACACAAGACACCTAACAACCCAATGTATGTCCTTCACTCAAAGAAAACACTGATTTTCTCATTTGGGAGTTGTAGTTCTTGGGATCTATAGTTCACCTACAATCAAGAGCATTCTGAACTCCACCAATGATGGAATTGAACCAAACTTGGCACACAGAACTCCCATGACCAACAGAAAATACTGGAATACTGTTATGAGTGAAAGCAAAGTGTGTAAGTGGGTACAACAATTCAAAGATGGCCGTGACAACATCCATGATGAGGACCGCTCTTCTTTGATTACAGACGATTTGGTGGCTTCAGTTGAAGTGAGGATTCGTGAGAACAGGCGCTTCACAATAACAATAATAAAAATCTTTGAATTGTCGTACCCACTTACGTACTTTGCACAGAACAGAACCGTACAAGTTAGCTACAGAGCGGAAACTGAGCACAGTTGTTCCCGAGGCATGCCGGTACACGCATGCACTCGTTGTGGTATGCGCGCGAACTACTAGTGTCTACAACAAAATGGACCTTACTTTAAAAATACTCCTCGTACTTACATCCGGTCCAACTCTCTTCACCAGGGCAAGAAAATCTAATCAAAGCCCTCCTGACAAAGAGCCATCCAGCCATAGATATAGAGATATATATGATTCACACACACAGAGAGAGATACAGTATCATAGATTTGAAAGAGACCCTTAAAGAAGGACAATTATATGTGGCATGTTCCAGACTAGGCAAACCAGACACTCTCCACATCAACACTGACAAAGAAACAGCAAGAAATAGTTTACCCACAAGTAGAAAGAAATTACATAGATTAGAAACCATTACTTTATTTTCCAGATCACCAGACTGGGCCACAGCAACCCGTGGCAGGGGAAAGCTAGTAAGCTATATAAATAAAAATGTATATGTCCGTTTGTTCATGACCTCAAACCTCCCAAAATATTTCACCAACTGCTTTGAAATTTTGGCACAATGTAGCATTTGAACAGTCAAATGTTTTTATGTTTTTACATACCTATTATTCTATAGATATCACACATGTGACAGGTAAAAATATGCTTTGCTTCAAAAACAGCACCATCTGCTGGATATCCAAGCAACACACACTATACAACATATCTTACGATTGTTAAGGTTCAAAACCTTAAACTCCCAAAATACTTCACCAACTGCTTTGAAATTTTGTGGAGCATTGTTGTTGTTGTTGTTATTATTATTATTATTATTATTATTATTATTATTATTATTATTATTATATAGACCAGTATCGTTATTATTGTCATCATTACTATTTAGACCAGTATTATTATTATATGGATGATGATGATGATGATGATAATGATGATGATGATGATGATTTGAAACACAACAAGATGAGTCCACAGCAGACACTCTGTTGGCTGTTGTATTGGATCACACGTTGGACACTTCCCAAGTGTGTAGGCTTATGTGATGTATCAGCGAATAATGTGTGCAGATACCAGTAAGGTGGCATTTTGCAGCTGGCAGGTGGTAATCTTGTCAGCACCAATTGTGTTTAAGTGCAGACCAAGGTCTTTAGGCACTGCACCCAGTGTGACGATCACCACTGGGACCACCTTGACTGACTTGTGCCAGAGTCATTATTATTATTATTATTATTATTATTATTATTTAGACCAGGGTTGTTTTGTTGTTGTTGTTGTTGTTGTTGTTATTATATAGACTATTATCTATATAAATAAAACTGTAAATGTTCGTTTACTTAAATCTCCCATAATGAGAAACCTGTTCTTTCTCTTTTCTTTCTTTTCCATTTAACCAGACTGAGCTACAGCAATGCGTGGCAGGGGACAGCTAGTAATAGTAATAGTTTATTTGTATTCTGCCCTATCTTTCGGGGGGGGGGCGGGGACGGACTCAGGGTGGATTCCGACATACAACGGCAAACATTTAAAGCCTCCATAAAACAAACAAGTATCACTTCAACAAGTCCTACTTCAACAGCGGGCCTAAACTTCAGTCTTCCGGGTATTTTGGACCAAAGCTCCAAGAATCCTTGTTTAATGACCAAAGCAGTTGAGGCTTCTGGGACTCAATGACCTAGGAAACCTTCCATCCTTCCTTACATTGTCCATCTTCTTGAATACTGGTAAGTTGGCCACATAGAACATGGCCTTTGGTGGCACTGGGATCCACTAGAGGCCAACCAGAGTCAAATTTTAACACTTCTGATAAGAGTTGGTTGGGATATAGTATCACATTGTTTCTCAACCTTCCTAATGCCATGACCCCTTCATACAGTTCCTCATGTTGTGGTGACCCCCCCCCCCCAACCATAACATTATTTTTGCTGCTACTTCACAACTGTCATTTTGCTACTGTTATGAATAGTCATGTAAATATCTGATATGCAGGATGTATTTTCATTCACTGGACCAAATTTGGCACAAATACCCAATACACCCATATCTGAATACTGGTGGGGTTGATTTTGTCATTTGGGAGTTGTAGTTGCTGGGATTTGTAGATCACCTACAATCAAAGAGCATTCTGAGGTCCACCAATGATGGAATTGAACCAAACTTGGCACACAGAACTCCCATGACCAACAGAAAATATTGGAAGAGTTTGGTGAGCATTGACCTTGAGTTTTTGGAGTTGTAGTTCATTTATTATTTATTTATTATTTATTTGGAGCATTTATTAACCGCCATTCTCAGCCCACTCGGGCGACTCACGGCGGTGTACAGTACAAAAGGCAATTCACACAAAGACAAGTACAACAGCATATTAACCATACAACAATACAACAGTTAAAATTACACTAACTAATCCGCTTCGTCTCGTAATAGAATCGTGACCAATCTCGTATTCCTTGTACCATTCCAGTCGTCTTTACCACATTACTATAGCACTTAATTAAATGCCCTCTCGAACAGCCACGTCTTGAGGCTTTTTCGGAAGGACAAAAGAGAGGGCGCCTGCCTGATGTCTGTAGGGAGAGTGTTCCACAACCGGGGGGCCACCACTGAGAAGGCCCTCTCTCTCGTCCCCGCCAGGCGTGCCTGTGAGGCAGGCGGGATCGAGAGAAGGGCCTCCCCAGACGATCTCAAGGTCCTCGTGGGCTCATAGGCCAAGATGCGGTCTGAAAGGTATTTTGGGCCGGAGCCGTTCAGGGCTTTGTAGGCCAACACCAGCACCTTAAATTGGGCCCGGTAGCAAATCGGCAGCCAGTGGAGCTGGGACAACAAGGGTGTTGTGTGCTCCCTGTATCCCGCTCCAGTTAGTAACATGGCTGCCGCACGCTGAACCAGCTGAAGCTTCCGGGCCGTTTTCAAGGGCAGCCCCACATAGAGAGCGTTGCAGTAGTCAAGCCGGGATGTGACCAGAGCGTGTACCACCGTGGCCAAGTCAGACTTCCCGAGATACGGGCGCAGCGGGCGCACGAGCCGAAGCTGTGCAAATGCTCCCCTGGTCACCGCTGAAACCTGGGGATCCAGGCTCAACGATGAATCCAGGGTCACACCCAAGCTGCGAACCTGCGCCTTCAAGGGGAGTGCGACCCCATCCAGCACAGGCTGTAACCCTATACCCTGTTCGGCCTTGCGACTGACCAGGAGGACCTCTGTCTTGTCTGGATTCAATTTCAATTTGTTCGCCCTCATCCAGACCGTCACAGCGGCCAGGCACCGGTTCAGGACCTAGACAGCCTCCTTAGTAGCAGGTGGAAAGGAGTGACAGAGTTGGACATCATCTGCGTACAGATGACACCGCACCCCGAAACTCCGGATGATCTCACCCAGCGGCTTCATGTAGATATTAAACAGCATGGGGGACAGTATGGAACCCTGTGGAACCCCACAAGTCAAAGGTTGTGGTGTAGAACAGGAGTCCCCCAATAACACCTTCTGGGTGCGGCCCTCCAGGAATGACTGGAGCCACTGCAAAGCAGTGCCCCCAAGGCCCATTTCCGCAAGGCGCCCCAGAAGGATACCTGGTCGACAGTATCGAAGGCCGCTGAGAGGTCCAGGAGCACCAACAGGGACACACTCCCCCTGTCTAGCTCCCGGCGCAGATCATCCACTAAGGCGACCAAGACCGTCTCCGTACCATGTCCCGGTCTGAAACCAGACTGTGCCGGATCCAGATAATCCGTGTCTCTCAAGAATACCTGGAGTTGTGAGGCCACCACGCTTTCCATGACTTTGCCCAAAAAGGGAAGATTGGAAACAGGCCGAAAGTTGTCGAATTTAGTGGGGTCCAGTGATGGTTTTCAACAGCGGTTTTATAACTGCTTGTTTTAAGCTCGCTGGAATCTTGCCTTCCCGAAGGGAGGCATTAACCACCACCGTTACCCACTCAGCCAATCCCCCTCTGGCCTCCTTCAGAAGCCAGGATGGGCAGGGGTCTAGGATGGACGTGGTGGGCCTCATTCCTCCAAGTATCTTGTCCACATCCTCGGGTTTCACAAACTGAAAAGAATCCATCAAAATAGGACAAGCAGGTGCTCTTGTTACATCCTCTGAGACTGCATTTAACGCGGCGTCCAGCCCAGAACGGATCAAGGCGACTTTGTCTGCAAAGAACCGAGCAAATGCTTCACAGCGCGTGACCGAATTGTCAGGGCTCCCGCCAGAGGTGGCGGGAGTTAAAAGACCTCTAACAATCCGAAACAACTCCGCCGGACGGTTCTTTGCAGACGCAATAGTGGCCGCAAAGAAAACTTTCTTTGCGGCCTTTATTGCCGCGGCATATGCCCTAAGAAAGGACACAAACCGTGCTCGGTTTGACTCGCTTGGATCCGAACGCCACACGCTCTCTAGTTCCCTCTTCCTTCGCTTCATCACTGCCAGCTCCTCGGTAAACCAAGGGGCTGGTTTAGCTCGGCTACTTGAGAGGGGACGCTCCGGAGCGATCATGTCAATTGCCCTGGCCATCTCCCCATTCCAGAGAGCGACCAAGGCCTCGACATGGTCACCTACCGAGGTGGCGGGAAAATCCCCAAGAGCCGTCAGGAATCCATTCGGATCCATAAGCCTCCTGGGGCGGACCATCTTAATGGGTCCTCCACCTTTGCAGAGGTTAGGGGGCGCAGTGAGCCTAAATCTGATCAGGAAGTGGTCGGTCCATGGCAACGGAGAGATGGACAACTCCTCCACACCGCCACCCTGCTCCCATCCCTGGCAGAAAACCAAGTCCAATGTATGTCCAGCACAGTGGGTAGGGCCAGTTATTTTGGGACAGCCCCATGGTTGCCATGGCGGACATGAAGTCCTGAGCTGCTCCTGTGAGGGTCGCCTCGGCATGGATGTTGAAGTCCCCCAGCACAAGAAGCCGTTGAGACTCCAACGCCAGGCTCGAGACCACCCCCGCTAGCTCAGGTAGGGAGACTGTAGTGCAGCGAGGGGGACGGTACACTAACAGAATCCCTATTCTGTCCCGGTCACCCACCCTCAGGTGGACGCATTCAAAATTTGTGGTCTGCGGGATGGGACTCCTGGTCAGATGGATGGAATCTCTATAGACCACTGCGACCCCGCCTCCCCGTCCTCCGGATCTCGGTTGGTGCTGTACGGAGAAGCCTGGAGGACAAAGCTGGGTAAGATTTACGCCCCCAGCTTCATCCAGCCAGGTCTCCGTAATGCACGCCAGATCTGCCCGCTCATCCAGGATTAGGTCCTGGATCCAGGTCGTTTTTCCGTTGACAGACCTGGCGTTCAGCAGCACCACCTTCAATCCGGAGGGCCCGCTCACCTGGTTACACCAATATACCTTAGGAGACCGGTTTAGGGTTGTTAATGTTGGTAAGCGGTCCGAATTAAGCCGAATTTGAGGTCTCCTTTTACCGCATCTCCTCCTCCCCACCACGACCTCTATGGGGGCCCCTCGGCTAGTGGAACACCTCCCCTCCTCCATGCCGCAGTCCAGCACCAAGGTCTTATTTCCAATATCGCTCGAAGTTTGGATTGTTGGCCTTTGCCATCTCCCTTGCCTCCCCTCCTCCCCCCTCCCCGCCCCATCCTTGTTCACAGGCTCCAGCCCTCCTCCTCCCCTGCCCCCTCCACTAGTCAGCAGTAACAGGGACAGAACAAATAGGGGGATGGGGAGCCACATGGATAACAATAGATTCAGGTGGGGCTAGGCGTTCAGCCACACCAGTTAAACAGTTCGTAAAGTGCAAGAGACTTAAATGCCACCCAGTCAGTAATATCACTCAATCAACAACATACTGCGTACCGTTGGGCACATACATAAAGTGCAAGATCTAAGGTGCAGTACATAAAGTGCAAGATCTAAGTGCAATAGATACCCAAACTGGTTCTCTCAATTAACTAAAGTGCGGCATAGAGGAAAAGGATGGGGGCGTAGTGCTGGTATAATTTAGCAGCAGTGGCAGGCGCCTTAAAGTGCTATTGCGTTCTTGATCAAATTAGCAGCAAACGACAACCAAGGGGTAACTGAGGTAGTGATATGTAATCACACTCTCACAAGGATGATGGTAATAGTAATTGGATAAGGTTATTAAAATTGTTATGATTCAGATGTAATCCCTAGACGGTTGGTCTAAAAGCGGATGGGTCATCCGGCGATGTCAACACAGCGGCGGTCAGCACAGTTGAACTACGATGATATCTCTTCATACAAAGAGGCCAGCATAAGAGGTCTACACAAACGGTCTACACAAGAGGTCTACACAAGAGGTCTACACAGTAACAATCAGCAGTTCAACACAGTCAACACAATCAGCAGGCACTGCTGGACCATGAAAGATCACACAATTTGTCCAAGATTGGATCAGCGGGATGCAAAGGTGGCGGTAATTTGGTCACAGGTGGCCGACTCAGTCTTCCGGGGGTGGTGGATACCGGACAACCACCGAAAGATCTAAAATGCTCTAGGCTAAAGTGACATAGTAGTAGAACCAGTTCGAAAAAAGTTCTTTGCCTTCTTGGACTAGGCCACTTCTCAATCAAGGGTAGTCAGTTCAGAATTAGGAGACCGGTTTCTGAGGATCCGTGAAGGACAAGCCGGCATCCCCTTGGCCAGGCTCCCGCCTCTTCCCGACCAGCCAATGGGTGGTGGCACTAATCACAAGCAGATGAGCAGATGGTATACTCATGCAAGAGGCAGTGTCTGTTGGTCCGTTGTTAGTCAATTCACGTCACAGTTGCCAAGAGCTTTCAAAGCTGGAGATCAGATGTTATTTATACAGCAACACAATAGCAGCAACACAAGATTGGGGTCTCAGTAGTGACAACTGGGCTTCTAAAGGCTTCTCCCAAGCAGCAACACAGCAATGGATCAGAGCAGCTCAGCAAAAAGGGCCATCTTCCAGCCGAACCCGAAGCCGAAAGCGGCAGCACAAGCAAAGCCCTGCAGGGATAATATCTGCGCCTTCGGGTCTTCCAAGCGCAGGCGAAATTAGGATATTAGGAGGGAGCGAGCTCCACCGAGCTCCGGCCGAGAAGGTGAAAATAATGGCCTCAGCTCAGCCTCCTTCTTCTCCCCTCTCTCTCCCTTCCTATTTCCCTGGAAATCTCACCAGACGGCCCCTATGGGGTCCTGGGGTGTTGCAGGTCAGGGACTCGTTGTTATTTTTTATTTTTGAGCTCTCTCTGATCTTGACTAAGAGAGGGAGTACTCTGCCCGCGTTGTAATAGATGGTCTAGAAGGGAGCGTTTTAACCTTGTTGTAAAGGCAGCCACACTCTAACCCTCTGATCTTCCCCTCCCGCGAATCTTACTCACGAAGAGCAATTAAACTCAGTTGTAAATCTTCTCTGGGGAACAGTTTGGCTCAGATGTAAATCTTTCTCACAGAGAACGATTTAGCTAAGTTGGCTAAGTTGTAAATCTTTTTTCGGGAGAGCTTCTTCTCCGCACTCCATCCAGAGAGTACTGTGGACTCAAACAGTGATCGATCTGGACCAAATTTGGCATGAATACTCAATATGCCCAAATGTGGACATTGGTGGAGTTTGGGGGAAGTAGACTTTGACATTTGGTTGTAGTTGCTGGGATTTAGAGTTCACCTACAATCAAAGAGTATTCAGAACTCCACCAATGATGGGATTGAACCAAACTTGGCACACAGAACTCCCATGACCAACAGAAAATATTGGAAGGGTTTGGTGGGCATTGACCTTGAGTTTTGGAGTTGTAGTTCACCTACATCCAGAGAGCACTGTGGACTCAAACAATGATGTATCTGGACCAAACTTGGCACAAATACTCAATATGCCCAAATTTGAACACTGGTGGAGTTTGGGGGAAATAGACCTCAACATTTGGGAGTTGTAGTTGCTGGGATTTGTAGTTCACCTACAATCAAAGAGCATTCTGAACCCCACCAACGAGAGAATTGGGCCAAACTTCCCACACAGAACCCTCATGACCAACAGGAAATACTGTGTTTTTTAATCATTTTGGTTACATCTTTGAAACCCCCCTTGCGACCCCTTTCCCCAGCGGTCCTGACCCCCAGGTTGAGAAACTCTGCTCTAGAACAAAGTGAGTCCAGGTAGATGAACACCAAGGCCTTGTGAATGCTTCCTGGTTTCTTACCTGTACTGACTCCTCCAGTGAAGATCCAGGCACCTGTTGTCATGGCGGCCTTGATGAGGCCCTTCCCAAAGACTTGCTTCAGCTTAGGTTGGAGCTCAAAGTTCTGCAGCCCTCCATGGACTGAGATCAAGAGTTTGGGTAGTTCCAGCTGCCACTCTTTCACCATGAGGTGGAGCAAAGCGTCCGGCTTGGTATCGTAAGACACTCTGATATACTGCAAGAGAACAAAGGGATGAGGGTGTGCGAAGAGCTGGACCGGGTCCAAGGAAAAGCTCATTGAGCTTTCTATGTGGACATTCCACATGAGTTAACCAGGTATCTCCAGGAAGAATTTCATGAAGGCCATTGTTTTCTTAGTCCCCTCAATAATGGAAAGTCTAGCCCTGCTGTGAGGGCCCTTCCACACAGGATCATAACCCGTGATGGGTCACAGATAAACCTGAATTAATCCAGAGTGAGCTGGGATTTTCCAGTTTACTCTGGATTAATTTGACACCTGGATTAATTTGACACCATTGCGATCCCAGTTCTTTGCATGCTTCCAGGTCCCTCCATTAAGTTTTTGGGCACAATGGGGGGCTGGCTACATGTGAAAAACAGGGATGGCAATGGGGAAATCTCAGGATTGCGGAAAGGGGTCCCGGCAGTCAACCCTCCACAGGGCCACACCTGGAAAGATCCAGATCAGATTGACAGGAAAGAGTGATTAAAAGTCTTAAGTTAGCCAGCCAGGAGGCTGAGGAGAAAAATATTTTAAAGAGGAAGAAAGTGGCCTAACAGAGAGAAACAAGTTAACTGTTTGAAAGTTATGTAATAACAATTTGATGTATTTTAAAGGAGTGAAAGACAGTTGCAAGGATATACAAGTGGAACTGAAGTAAAGTACTTTGTAACAGACAAGCTTATGCACCAAAGAATTAATGAATAAACATTTCCTTGTTGTATTGGAGTCTTGTATCAAGTTAAAGGATTTTAAGTTACACAGCTGGGAGTCAGTTTGTGATTACATTGAAGAAATCTGTGAAGGGAATCGGAAGCTACATATTGACTCCAGGTTTGAATTACAAATAGATGCAACAAATGATTACATCCTGGAACAAACACACAGTAATAAAGGTGCAATAGAAACAGAGAAAGTGTGTTCTAAGAGTGAACACTTGTGTTTATGAGGGTTGATTTCTCACTTTCCCCTGTACCAGCCTCATGAGGACATACGTACATATATGTCCCCTCTCTCTCCATGTTATGTCACATTATTAATCAGTGGTAGTGTTTTGATTATCATTATGTTTGTGTTAAGGACCTGTTACAACATGCTACTACAAAAATATGAGGGTTGAATGAAAAGTAATGCCTCCACCTCCTCAACAGATGGCAGTTTACTGGTATGCAGCATGTACTGGCTTGTTCAGTAGACTCTCCTCTACAGTTCCATTTTGGTGGGAAGCCTTAGCACTGAACAACGGTTGTTATTAAAGTGAGAAGTATGGAACCCTGTGCAGACGGTCGGTCAATGCGACTTAAGCAACATGCAGTCATTGAATTCTTCACAGCAGAAGGTGTCACCCCAATCATAGAATCATAGCATCATAGAATCAAAGAGTTGGAAGAGACCTCATGGGCCATCCAGTCCAACCCCATTCTGCCAAGAAGCAGGAATATTGCATTCAAAGCACCCCTGACAGATGGCCATCCAGCCTCTGTTTAAAAGCTTCCAAAGAAGGAGCCTCCACCACACTCCGGGCAGAGAGTTCCACTGCTGAATGGCTCTCACAGTCAGGAAGTTCTTCCTCATGTTCAGATGGAATCTCCTCTCTTGTAGTTTGAAGCCATTGTTCCGCGTCCTGGTCTCCAAGGAAGCAGAAAAACAAGCTTGCTCCCTCCTCCCTGTGGCTTCCTCTCACATATTTATACATGGCTATAATATCTCCTCTCAGCCTTCTCTTCTTCAGGCTAAACATGCCCAGCTCCTTAAGCCGCTCCTCATAGGGCTTGTTCTCCAGACCTTTTATCATTTTAGTCGCTCTCCTCTGGACACATTCCAGCTTGTCAATATCTCTCTTGAATTGTGGTGCCCAGAATTGGACACAATATTCCAGGTGTGGTCTAACCAAGGCAGAATAGAGGGGTAGCATTACTTCCCTAGATCTAGACACTATGCTCCTGATGCAGGCCAAAATCCCATTGGCTGTTTTTGCCGCCACATCACATTGTTGGCTCATGTTTAACTTGTTGTCCCCAGACCCTTGATCATTTTAGTCGCCCTCCTCTGGACACATTCCAGCTTGTCCCCCATTCTGTATCTTTGCATTTCGTTTTTCCTGCCTAAGTGGAGTATCTTGCATTTGTCACTGTTGAACTTCATTTTGTTAGTTTTGGCCCATCTCTCTAATCTGTCAAGATCGTTTTGAATCCTGCTCCTGTCCTCTGGAGTATTGGCTATCCCTCCCAATTTGGTGTCGTCTGCAAACTTGATGATCCTGCCTTCTAACCCCTCATCTAAGTCATTAATAAAGATGTTGAACACGACCAGGCCCAGGATGGAACCCTGTGGCACTCCACTCGTCACTTCTTTCCAAGTTGAAGAGGAAGCCTTGGTGAGCACCCTCTGGGTTCGTCCATTTAACCAATTACTGATCCACCTCACCGTAGTTTTGCCTAGCCCACATTGGACTAGTTTGTTTGCCAGAAGTCATGGGGGACCTTGTCGAAGGCCTTACTGAAATCCAGGTACGCTACATCCACGGCATTCCCCGCATCTACCCAGCTTGTAACTCTATCGAAAAAAGAGATCAGATGAGTCTGGCATGACTTGTTTTTGATAAATCCATGTTGACTATTAGCGATGACCGCATTTGTTTCTAAGTGTTTGCAGACCACTTCCTTAACAATCTTTTCCAGAATCTTGCCTGGTATCGACGTGAGGCTGACCGGACGGTAGTTGTTTCGGTCATCCTTTTTTCCCTTCTTGAAGATTGGGACCACATTGGCCCTCCTCCAATCTGCTGGAACTTCTCCCGTTCTCCAAGAACTCTCAAAGATGATTGCCAATGGTTCCGAAATGACTTCCGCTAGTTCCTTCAATACTCTTGGGTGTAGTTGATCTGGCCCTGGGGACTTGAACTCATTTAGAGCGGCCAGGGATTCCTGGATGACTTGTTTCCCAATTTGGGGTTGGATGTCCTCTAATCCCTCATCCACTCCATCTTGCTGAGGTTGAAGATGACTTTCTTTTTGTGAGAAGACCGAGGCAAAGAAGGCATTAAGTAGTTCTGCCTTTTCCCTATCCCCTGTCAGCATTGCCCCATCTTCTCCTCGAAGAGGCCCTATCGCCTCTTTTTTTCCTTTTTCTACTGACATAAGAAAAGAAGCCCTTTTTATTGTTTTTAATGTCCTTGGCAAGCCCGAGCTCGTTTTGTGCTTTAGCCTTGCGGACCTTTTCCCTACAGGTGTTGGCTATTTGTTTGAATTCTTCTTTGGTGATTTCTCCCTTTTTCCACTTCTTGTGCCTTAGCACAGTTAGAAGTTCTTTGGACATCCATTCTGGCTTCTTTGCACTTGTCCTATTTTTTCTCTTTGTTGGCACGGTTTGCAATTGCGCCTTGAGTATTTCACTCTTGAGAAATTCCCATCCATCCGTAACTCCCTTGTCTTTTAGTATCTGTGTCCACGGAATGCTGCTCAGTGTTTCCTTCATTTTTTGGAAATCAGCTCTCCTAAAGTCCAAAATGCGGGTTTGACTTGTCTTAGTTTCGGCCTTCCTTTGTACCTCAAATTGCAGGAGCACATGGTCACTTGCCCCTAAGGTTCCTACCACTTCAACCACATCGATCAGGTCCTCCGCATTTGTTAGGATGAGATCAAGAGTAGCCAATCCCCTTGTTGCCTCTTCTACCTTCTGGACCATGAAATTGTCTGCAAGGCAAGTGAGGAATTTGTTGGACCTTGTACTCTTGGCCGAGTTTGTTTTCCAGCAAATATCAGGATAGTTGAAATCTCCCATCTCTTCTCTGTGCCTGTTTGGTCAGCTGTTGGCAGAAGACTTCATCAAGTTCTTCCTCCTGGCTTGGAGGTCTGTAGTAGATGCCTACAACGAGATCTTTTTGAGTCCCTGTTCCCTTGATTCTTATCCAGATGCTTTCAAGCTGGTTTCCCGGATTGCTGTGTTGCATCTCTTCTGCAGCATAAGAGTTTTTGACATATAAGGTTACTCCGCCTCCTCTCCCCTTTGATCGGTTTCTGTGAAAGAGGTTATAGCCCTTGATGTCTACATTCCAGTGATAGGAGTCATCCCACCAGGTTTCAGTGATGCCTATGATATCACTGATTCATCAGAGAATGCAAGCTGTTTATGTTGATTGTGTTGATGTGAGTAGTGCACGTAGTTGGGCAAGTAAGTTTAAAGATGTTGAGGTGGGAGCATCTGACTTGTGTGACAAACAAAGAGTTGGACGTCCTGTGACAGCAACCACTGAGTTTCACAAGCAAAAGCTTGACAGATTGATTCAGGATGATTGTTATATTACTCAGAGAGAAATTTCAAGCAATTGCACAAGAACGTGTGGGTCACATTATTGCTTTGCTTGTCTATCGGAAGATCTGTGCACGATGAAATGAAAGCGCACAGACTTGAAACTTCAGAGACTGGATCTCACCACTGTATGACATCCTCCATACAGTTCAGATTTAGCACCATCTGACTTCCATCTGTTCCTGATAATGAAAGAAGATCTGCAGGGACATCATTATGCTTCTGATGAAGACGTTGAGAGAACTGTGAGACACTGGTTGCAGAAACAGAGTGTCAACTTCTTCCGTGATGGCTTCAGAAAACTTGTTCATTGTTGGCAGAAATGTATCCAATTGTCTGGTTATTATGTGGAAAAGCGAATAGTGGTAATTAAAGAGCACATTCTAAGGATTATTTCATTCTAAGGATTATTTCTGCATTTGATTTATTAAAATATTCCCATCCAAGTAACGAAGGTGGAGGCATTACTTTTCATTCAACCCTCGTATATTTGGTTAGCAGGAGATGGTTGTTTCTTTGCAGTTGTAATTGCAGTTGCCCAAAAGATGCACACTTCCTCAAAACGTCTTCATTAAAATATACACCCAGAGATAAAAAAAAAAAACCAAAGTCTTCTTTGAAAAATAACATATCTTGTTTATTCATATAACTTCTTGTATTAATTCATCATACAGGCATGTTTCTTATTAAAGTTGAGTTATAAATAGGATGTAGTTCTCTCTGAGTTGAGGATACTTTTACCAATAATCCATAGTCTTTATGTATAGTTGTACTCACGATCATAAGTATACATGCATCCATTAAAGTCCAAACAGCAACATGCACCCACCTCCACTGAGGTCTGAAGCAGACACATCCACCTCCAATGTGGGTGGTAAACAGACTGAACACAAAAATGGAGTCCTGAGTCTGAACATCACATGTCTATAACCTCCCACACCAAAGCTGTAAGGTAAACTGGCAAATCAACATACACATAGAATACAGGTTAACAAATATATACATTAAGAAATAAATAGTGAAAGGCTTGGGAGGTTACTATTTCTAACAGGCACTAGGTGACAGTATGATAGCTGGGTCTGGAAACTCCAAGCGTTATGGAGATAAGTGTTAGGGTAAGGGGTTAGGCTTAGGCGTACAGTATGGTTCAGGGTTTAGGGTTAGGGTAAGTTTAGAGTTTGGGTTAGCATAAGGGTTAGGTAAGGGGTTAGGCTTAGGCGTACGGTATGGTTCAGGGTTAGGGTTAGGGCAAGGTTTAGAGTTTGGGTTAGCATAAGGGTTAGGGTAGGGGTTTGGGTAAAGGGTTAGGCTTAGGAGTACGGTACGGTTCAGGGTTAGGGTTTGGGTTAGGGTAAGGTTAGAGTTTGGGTTAGCATAAGGGTTTGGGTAAGGGGTTAGGCTTAGGCATACGGTACGGTTCAGGGTAATGGTAAGAGTTAGGATAAGGTTTACAGTTTGAGTTAGCGTAAGAGTTAGGGTAAGAGTTTGGGTAAGGGGTTAGGCTTAGGTGCACGGTACGGGTCAGAGTTAGGGTTAGGGTAAGTTTAGAGTTTGGGTTAGCGTAAGGGTTAGGGTAAGGGTTTGGGTAAGGGGTTAGGCTTAGACTCATGGTATGGTTCAGGGTTAGGGTTAGGGTAACGGTAAGGGTAAGGTTTAGAGTTTAGGTTAGCATAAGGGTTATGATAAGGGTTTGGATAATGGGTTGGGGTTAGGTTTAGGCGTACGGTAAGGTTCAGGGTTAGGGTTAGGGTTAGGGTTTGGGTAAAGAGTTAGGCTTAGGCGTGTGGTATGGTTCAAGGTTAGGGTTAGGGTTAGGTTTAGAGTTTGGGTTAGTGTAAGGGTTTGGGGTTAGGGTTTGGGTAAGGGGATAGGCTTTGGTGTACGGTACGGTTCAGGGTTAGGGTTAGGGTAAGGTTTTGAGTTTAGGTTAGCGTAAGGGTTAGGGTAAGGGTTTGGATAAGGGGTTAGGCTTAGGCGTACGGTATGGTTCAGGGTCAGGGTAAGGGTAAGGGTTAGGGTTAGGGTAAGGTTTAGAGTTTGGGTTAGCGTAAGGGTAAGGGTTTGGGTGAGGGGTTAGGCTTAGGCTTACGGTATGGTTCGGGGTAAGGGTTAGGGTTAGGGTTTCACCATTAAAGAACTCTTACATTCCTTCTATATTATCTGTCTCCGGCCTGGCTAAGTCTCTCTTGGACAAACAGTGCTCCTGAAGGAGCAATGCGGCATCTCCGTAATGCTTGGAGCTTCCGGACCCAGCTATCATACTATTACCAGGCACTACATCAGTAAATAATGCAAATGCTGCACTTGCATGCACAAAATGTCACAAACGGGATGCTAGCCATTGTCGAGAAGAAGGAGAAGGAAGAGGAGAAACAACGCAACGCTGCTGCTTACCATGGACTTGTTGCTGTGCCCTCCACCTTGAAACTCAAGGTTCCCATAGGCATCAGTAGGGAGCGCATGGGTGTGCTTACTGACGGACCATTTATCTGGCTGTATGTCCACCTGCTTCGTAGCCTCCTCTCCATTTTTGTTTGCTGTTGTGATCGAAGGGATCGGGGTGTGCTGAGTAAGAAGTTGGCCACAACAGCACCTGGGGACAAAAGGCGGGATAGAAACGGCGAGTCTGTAAAATTCCCTGAGAATTACAATGACAGATACTGAGTCCTCCCAACAAATAGGAACACTCCCCCTCCAGAGAAAGGTTACCTGGTAGTATCTTTGCTGTTGGCAATTATGTAAATGCACTCTCTTTTGAAAAAGGTCTTCTCTATCCAAGCCTTTTGACCCTAGGAAACAAAGCAAAGAGGGGGAAAAAAACATTGGTATGGATTGGATCGCAGAGAGGAAATGTTCACTTGGGAGATAAAAATATCAACATTTGGCAATGTCTTGGATACACTTAATTTTGGAAGAAAGCAGCATATTTGAAGAACAGTCCGTATTGCACAAAATTACAGGATAATCAGCATATTTGAAGAGCAGCTCATTGCAAATTATAGGGAATTAGCACATTGGGGGAGCAGAACTCCTAATAATCAGAGACAGAGGGTGGATCTAAAATCCTACCGGAAACCCTCCATTGGATGTACTTACTTACTTACTTACATACTTAGGTGATTCCTTGTTGTCTGAGTATGATGGCCCTCCAAGTGTAGTGGATACGTAGGTGACCGTAGAGCAGTTGGGACCCCTGGGGGGGTCATGAGAGGGTGTCAGAGGGGTCACCAAAGACCATCAGAAAACATTCACTAGACCAAACCTGGCACAAATATCTGATACGCCCAAATTTGAACACTGGTGGTGAAGGAGGTTGATTTTTGTCATTAGAGAGTTGTAGTTGCTGGGATTTATAATTCACCTACTATCAAAGAGCATTTTGAACTCCACCAATAATGGAATTGAACCAAACTTGGCACAAAGAACTCCTATGACCAACAGAAAATATCGCCCACCCCGTGACCACATCTGAGCTAGCAGATGTGGTCCCCAATTCAGCCCTGGTCTCCCAGCACCTGATTGTGCTGGGGGACTTTAACATCCATGCAGAGACCTCTTTAAGAGGAGCGGCTCAGGATGTTATGGTTGCCATGGGGCTATCACAAGTTATATCTGGACCCACCCATCAGGTTGGACATACACTCGACCTAGTTTTTGTTGCGGACAGTGGAACGGCTAGAGCAAAACATTCTTCCATTGTCATGGTCTGACAATAATCTGATCAGTTTTAGACTTGCTGTGACCTCTAACCTCTGCAGGGGTGGAGGACCAACTAAGATGGTCCGCCCCAGGAGACTGATGGATCCAGATGGATTCCTGAGGAATCTTGGGTCTTCCTGTCATGGAGCCTGGTGATCCTGTCGACACCCTGGTTGATCACTATAATAGTGAGATGGCCAGGGTGATAGACTTGATCACTCCCGAACGCCCCCTTTCATTGCATAGAGACACACCATCTCCTTGGTTCACTGGAGAGTTGGCTGTGATGAAGCGCATGAGAAGGAGGCTAGAGTGCAAATGAAGGAAATCTCAGGTTGTCTCTGACCGAACATGGGCTAGAGCCTCACTTAGGGCCTATTCCATGGCTTTACGGGTAGCCAGGGAGACCTTCACGACTGCCCGCATAGCATCTGCATCTAATAGATCTGAGTTGTTTTGGGTTGTCGGGGAACTCCTTCACCCCCCTGAGGTGGAGGAGGCCTTTGACGACCCAACAACTCGGTGCTGTGAGTTTGTGGACCATTTTGCAGATAAAGTTACTCAGATTCGTCTTGAGCTGGACTCCAATTTCATCACAGTGCCAGGTGAGGTGACCAAGGCATCTGCTTGTCCGGTGTTGTGGGATTCTTTCCTGCTTGTTCTTTCTGAGGAAATGGAGGAGGTCTTGGGGACTGTGAGAGCGACCACCTCAGCTCTGGACCCTTGCCCGTCTTGGCTAATTAAATCAGCCAAGGGTGGTTTGATTGATTGGTTTGTATTGATCATTAATGTATCGTTGGAGCAAGGAATTTTTCCAACTGGGCTAAAACAGGCTGTGGTCAGACCACTCCTGAAAAAGACCTCCCTTGACTCCACAGTCCTGAACAATTATAGACCAATCTCCAACCTCCCTTTCTTGGGCAAGGTGTTGGAGCGGGTGGTCGCCTCTCAGCTCCAGTGTTTCCTAGATGACATCAGCTATCTGGATCAGTCACAGTCTGGCTTCAGACCTGGTCATGGCACCGAGACGGCTTTGGTTGCCTTGGTGGATGACCTCCGCAGAGAGCTGGACAGGGGGAGTGTGACCCTGTTGGTTCTCTTGGATATCTCAGCGGCTTTCAATACAATCGATCATGGTATCCTTATGGGACATCTCTCTGGGATGGGCCTTGGAGGCTCGGCTCTGTCGTGGCTCTGGTCCTTCCTGGAGGGTCATTCCCAGATGGTGAAGCTGGGAGACACCTGCTCGGACCTCTGGCCTTTGACCTGTGGGTTCCCGCAAGGTTCCATTCTGTCTCTTATGCTTTTCAACATCTACATGAAACCGCTGGGAGAGGTCATCCGGAGTTTTGGAGTTCAGTGCCATCTCTATGCAGATGACACACAACTCTACTACTCTTTTCCACCTAACTCCAAGAAAGCCCCTCGGGTACTGAACAAGTGCTTGGCCGCTGTGGCTATCTGGATGAGGAGGAACAAGCTGAGGATCAATCCCGACAAGACAGAGGTCCTCCTGGTCGATCGTAAACCGGATCGGGGTATACGGTGGCAACCTGTGCTGGATGGGGTTACATTCCCCTTGAAATCGCAGGTCCGCAGTCTGGGTGTCCTCCTGGACTCATCACTGACACTTGAATCTCAGGCATCAGCGGTGGCCAAGAGGGCTTTTGCACAATTAAGACTCATGCGGCAGCTGCGACCGTACTTCGTGAAGGCGGTTCTGGCCAGGGTGGTCCATGCCTTAGTCACCTCCAAATTGGACTACTGTAATGCGCTCTACGTGGGGCTGCCCTTGAAAATGGCCCGTAAATTCCAATTGGTACAATGGGTGGCGGCCAGGTTGTTAACTGGTGCTCCTTATAGGGAGCGGTCAACCCTCCTGTTCAAGGAGCTCCACTGGCTGCCGTTCATTTTCCGGTCCCAATTCAAGGTGCAGGTTCTTACTTAGAAAGCCCTGAACGGTTTGGGACCCGCTTACCTGCGTGACCGCATTTCTGTTTACGAACCCACACAATCTCTTTGATCATCTGGAGATTGGTGGGGACGAGAGAGAGGGCCTTCTTGGTGGTGGCCCCCCGACTCTGGAACTCACTTCCCAGAGACATCAGACATGCCCCAACTCTGGCAGTCTTTAGGAGGAGCTTGAAAACATGGTTGTTCCAGTGTGCCTTCCCAGAATAAGGAAAACTCTCAGCATTATGTCCTCAAAATGCACTTTACTACTGCCTTAGGACTGACTGTATTCCCTCATTCTCTCTAAAAATCCTATCCCAATTATATCCTACCTGGTTCACATCAGCACTATGTTTTAATTTTAATCTATCACATTTGGCCTGGCCTTTGGTTTTATATGTTACTGTTGATTGCTTATTGTCTATTTTGTTCATGTGATTATGATTTATACTGTATTGATTGTTTATTGATGTTTTATTTTATTGATTTTCTGTTTATTGATGTATTGCGGGCTTAGCCTCATGTAAGCTGCACCGAATCCCTTGCGGAGATGGTAGCGGGGTACAAATAAAGTGTTGTTGTTATTATTATTATTATTATTATTATTAAAATACTGGGTTTGGTGGGCATTGACCTTGAGTTTTAGAGTTGTAGTTCACCTACATCCAGAGAGCACAGTGGATTCAAACAATGATTGTTCTGGACCAAACTTGGCACAAATAATAAGCCCAAATATGAACACTGGTGGAGTTTGGGGAAATTGACCTTGACATTTGGGAGTTGTAGTTGCTGGGATTTATAGTTCACTTACAATCAAAGAGCATTCCGAACCGTGGCAACAATAGAATTGGGCCAAACTTTTGACACAGAACCCCGATGACCATCAGAAAATACTGTGCTTTCTGATGGTCTTTGGCGACCCCTCTGACACCCCCTCACGACTCCCCACAGGGGTCCCGACCCCCAGGTTGAAAAACACTGCTTAAACTATGTTTCATTTTCCTTGTTGGTGTAATCTCCTTACCCAAAGCATGATTATACTCCTTTGAAAACAACGAAGCAAATGTATTTACGGGGACAGATAAATCAATGGCTTCTCGTCTGGCTGTCTGGTCAGAGCTTCTCTCCTGCTTGTGGAACATCAACAAGATGTTCTCCAAGCCAACTTTTTGGGTTCCAAAGAGGAATTGCTCACCAGCGCTGGGAAAACTAACTGAGTCTCCAGCTGCCAGGTGGGCGGATGATGAAGGATTAGAAGCCTTAGAAGCCGCGTTCCAGCCCAAAGAGAGCAAGGGTCTTACTTCGGAGAGGGGAACAGCAAATATGCCCGCAAGGTCAGGAGAAAATGAAACTCAGCATTTTTTTTGTTGCCGTTGAACTTTAAGCCACTTACAAAGTGTGCCATGGATTCGTGCATGGGACAATGGGCTGTTTTCAAGTGAATGCAACAACACTTAAAGAAGGGAACTTGAAGAAAACTCCCACACAAATCTTTTCACATGGGACTTCTAGTTGTTTTTAATCTACAAAGCTTGCTGCAAGATGCTTCTGGCTCTTAATGAGACATGCCACATTATCACAGGATGTTTACGCCCTACACTGCTGGAGAAATCATACTGTTTAGCCCAGTGGTTCTCAAACTTCCTAATGCCGCGACCCCTTAATACAGTTCCTTATGTTGTGGTGACCCACAATCATAAAATTATTTGCGTTGTTACTTCATAATTGTAATCTTCCTCCAATTAAGAATCATAATGTAAATATCTGATATGCAAGTTGTAATTTCATTCACTGGACCAAATTCAGCACAAATATTCAATACGCCCAAATTTGGATACCGATGGGGTGGGGAGGGATTGATTTTGTCATCTGGGAGTTGTAGTTGATGGAATGTATAGTTCACCTACAATCAAAGAGCATTCTGAACTCCACCAATGATGGAACTGAAGCAAACTTGGCACACAGAGCTCCCATGACCAACAGAAAATACTGGAAGGGTTTGGTGGACATTAACCCTGAGTTTTGGAGGTGTAGTTCACTTACATCTAGAGAGCACTGTGGACTCAAACAATGATGGATCTGGACCAAATTTGGCATGAATACACAATATGCCCAAATGTGAACACTGGTGGAGTTT